CCACAGGGTGGGGTGGCCGGCCATTCGGCGGTACCGCGCCATGATGTCCTGGGGGGGGGGGGTGGGGGCAGGAGGGGGCCCAGGGTGGCGGGCGAGGGGTCGATTCATACTCAACTTGGATCCTTTGGTTGGTGCGGCAATCTCTACCAAGATTTGCCCGTAGAGTGACTGGTTTTGTGGTGCAGGCGGCACCGCGCAGGCGTGCCACCGGCACCGCCGCTGTTCTTCTGCCCTCGCAACCACCCCCCAGCGTCGAGGGCTTGGCGCTGCGGCGCGCTGACGCGCGACGCCCGCGGCGACTGACCTGCAGCGTGACAAACATGGCGTGGCCCATGTGCAGCTTGCCGGTCACGTTGGGCGGCGGCATGGGGATGGTGTAGGGGGACTTTGGGGCAGACAGGTCCGGCGCGAACCAGCCGCCGGCCTCCCAAAATTCGTACAGGCGCCGCTCCCCCTCCTCAGGGTCAAAGTTCTTCGGAAGGTCAACGCCGCGGCGGCCTGGGGCCGTGGCAGGCGCGGGCTCCGCAGGCGCCGCCGGCGGCGCGGCGGCGTCGGTGGTGGCGGCGGCGGCCTCTGGGGAGGGGCGGTCGGGGTGCAGGTGAGGCGCGGGGCACGGCAGGGCGGGGCGTGCGGGGTGCGGATGCGCATGCGAACATGGAAGCTCTGCTCAGGCAGCTGCAAGATCGGCCGCCCCGCGATGCACAGCGGATGCTTGTGAGCCCTTGAGCGTGCGCTGCTTTGACTGAGCGTGTGGCACCCGCTGCGGCGGGATGCGCCGCAGGGCCTCGAAGGGCGGTGTGCTGGCTGCCACTGCTGGGGCCGTTGCGGCCGCCAAAGTTCTGGGCCATTCACACGCGCCCGCCCCCCCCCCCTGCCTTGGCCCGTGACCGCCCTCCTTGCCTCCCCAGAACATGCTTTGGGCTGCGGCATGCACGCCGCCGCCGCCCTTGCCGGCCTGCAGTCTGCCGCCGCAACACCACAATGTCACCATGTTGATTGAGCGTGCGCGCATGGGGGGCCCGGTCAGGGCAGGCCGATGCGTGCTGTGCGGTCAACTCACGTTCTGTCGCGGACGAGCAGCTCGCCACGAGGCGGATGGGCCGCTGCTGGCGTACAGCGCCGAGCGCCACCGCGACATGGCTTCGCGCGCCAGGCAGCACGGCGGGCCGAGCGGCGCCGGCCAGGGCGCGGGCCGCGCCGCCGCTGCGTGCGGCGCGCGGCAGCGGCGCGGTGTGGTGTAGGCACTGCATTGGCCGCCTCCACGCGCTTGGCGGGCTACGGTTAGCGATGCTCAGGGCCGCAGCCCGGAGCATTCACGGTACAGAGAGCTTTGTGAAGCCAATGAGGCTTGGCTGCCGACTTGTGGAGCCAGAGGTTCGTCCCAATCAAACCTGTACGATCGCAGCGTGTCGCACACGCAGTATTCAATTGATATGTAGGGATGTCATTGGTGATATTGACTTGATCGGTATTGTAACTCCACCTCAGCCGCAAACTCGCTTCGTGACTGCAGTCGCCGTCTCACCTGCGTCCCACAGACGACCAAAGGAAAGTCCAGCATTTGGATCGCCTCCATTCCTGTGATATCAACACAGCCTCATTTTCAAGCAATGTCAGCCATGCTGCAGGCCATATCTCGAGCGCTGCTTTCTCAGCAGCGATCTGGTGTTGCGCTGTTCGCATGCGCGCATCAGCTCACCAATCCTTGGTTCCTGCTGCGCTTAAATCAGCATAATACGCAGCAGCAGCGGGCCGCGGGCCTCCACTGCAGCAGCAGCACCTCTCATGGGCACAGCAGCGACGAAGAGGGCGGCCCAAAGGAGACGTGAGTGGTCGCTTAAAACTCAAACTTATCTACCAGCACCTTCCATGAAGGCTTCTGAGCGTTTACCCTCGCGCAGGATCACGGTGACCTTCGACTGCGAGAGGGACGGCACGTCGCACACGGTTCAGGCTCCTATCGGGAAATCCCTGCTGGAAATAGCACATGACAACGAAATAGAGCTTGAGGGTGCGACGCCCCGCACGCACGCTGCGAGCAGCAGCAACTGCGCCGCCGCTGCATGCCATGCTGCATGCTGCGTACGGCAACGAGTCTTGGCCCTTGGCAGGCACGCACCGATTGAAAGCTGGCTGTGCGTTCCCCAATCGCAGGCGCGTGTGAGGGGTCGCTGGCGTGCTCCACGTGCCACGTGATCGTGGAGGTGCGGCGGATGTGGGCTTCGCCGTCTGGCCCAGGCCGATGTTCCGCCTGTTCGAATGCGCGCCCGCAGCAGCGCAGGGGGCGTTCTCCGCGCGGCCACACGTGGCAATGTCGAGCAGTCCATTTTGATACAAAAGCCCGTCTGCGCGCACTGGTTGCCGTCGAATACCTCGCACTGTTGGCCGACTTTGGCACCGCTTCACACCACAATCATGTTTCCCGCCTTCTTACTGCGACAATCCTCCAAAGGATGAGGAGCACTACAAGCTGCTGCCTGAGGCCACAGAGGATGAGCTGGACATGTTGGACCTGGCCTTTGGCCTCACAGACACGTGAGG